CCAGAGGGAAAGGGGGGTGGGAGAGGTAATCAAGGGGAAAAGGGATAAATGGTGATGGAAGGAGGCTTGACTTAGGGTAGTGAACACAGTCAAAATACAGATGATGTATTATAGCATTGTACACCTAAACCTATATAATTTTATTTACCGAAGTCACCCTGATAAATTCAATAAAAGATGTTAATTAAAATATATATGTTTGTATGTTAAAAAGACATAGTAACACAACAGATTTTACAAGATTACATACATTTAACAAATACAGATATCAAACATGTTAAAGAGGGTCCCTATGAAGGACACAGAAAGGGGCATGGGAATTAAAGGAGAAAAAATAAAATAATTGAAACAAGAGCGAAGCCTTGCATAGACTGATAATGACAACTTGCCTTAAACAGAGGAGTATGTTTAATTCAGCTCTCTGTACTTCAATTCAATTTTTAAAATGTGTACATGGCCCAACTGGTGTGGGCCAGTGGATTGAGTGTCATCCCATGGACTGAGAGGTCCTGGTTCAATTCCTGGTCAAGGCACATTGCCCGGGTTGCAGGTTCGATCCCTAATAGGGGGCATGCAGGAGGCAGCGAATCAATGTTTCTCTCTCACATGGATGTTTTTATCTCTCTCTTCCTCTTTCTTTAAAAAAAAAAAAAAAAAAGTATATGTATTATATATAAAGGTCTGAAAGGGTATATACTAAAATATTAATAGAAGTTATCTCCAGGACTGGTATGAAAGGGTTTTTGTTTTTTTTTTTGTTTTTTGTACTGAATAAATATTGTGTGATGAGTAAAATGCATTTTTATGTTTCAAAAAATCATCTTAATAGTCACAACTACTTTTCTGCTGTTGGATAAATGTAAAATAACCCACTAAATTCGGCTTCCTGTGTGGTCACAGTCATTTTATTGTTTTTCTAGAATGTTCCAAAATAGCTCTGGAACAAGACCAATGGGACCATCAGATAGCTATCTAGCCTCACCCTTCTCCCCATGCAAATGAAGACCAAGCCTCCAATCCAGCTTTGGCAGAAACCTCTGGAACCCAGGATCGCAAGGCCCTCTCCTTCTTGGCTGAACTCATAACTCTCTCACTCAGTCAGCTCACTACAGCCTCTGAGAAGCTGCCTTGGGCAGCAGTTGCCAAAGACAAAAGGTTCCACCTCAAGGTTGGAAACTCTATTTGCAGCTTTGTAGACACAGGTGTCCTCCAGGAGACTCAAGATCTACAGTGCGGGTCAGTGTTTGACCAGGAATAGCTCAGAAAGCCTTCCCCTCAGAAGCCAGCCCTTGAGGCCTTCAGTGTATATTCTAACTATATTTGGCAATGAAAACAAAAGAGGTCAGTGGCTTCGTTCAAGGGAGAAAAAAAAAGACTAGTCCTGATTTATAATCCCTACTTCAAACTAGGACCAAGAATTTTAAAACTCACTTCAGTTATTTATTTTGCCCTCACTGAGCATACCACTGGAGCAGTTCTTCCCAGTCCAACCAGCCTCATGAAAATCTTTCAGAACCACAGGTGTAAATCACCTACCCAAGCCATCCCCAGATTAGAGGACATTTGGGGACATTTGGCTTGAGAACCCAAATGTTAAAATTATCCTACTGTATTCTCTATGTCTTCATAACATCAAAATAGTCCGTAGCACTTGGGTGCAAATCCAAACTCCAGCCCTTATTACTCACTGTGTGACCTTGGCTAATTACTCTATGTCTCTGAGGTTGTTTCCTTATCTAAAACCAGAGATAATAACACCTACTTCACAAGGCTGCTATAAGGATTAAATGAGATAAGGTGTATAAAGTGGCCAGAATGTCTGATACAAAGCAGGTGCTTAAAAAAAAAAAGAATCAGTTTCCATCTACCCCTGCCTGGACCCGCCCATCACTCCCTACCACCCTTAGCTGTTCAGCCAAGGTGTTACTTTTCAAGAAATCACCTGGTGGTAGTTGTGGGGGTGGGGGTGGGGTGGAAGAGGACATAGAGATAATACATGGTGATGGGAACGATTACATTTAATTTAAAAAGAAAGAAATCACCTGGTACCCTGTGTTTGATTACAAATGTATGGTACCATTCCCACAGCCAGCAACAGTAGCTAAAGATAAAAGCTGTGACTACTCAGCTGCAGACAGGTCGAATCAGCTCACAAATGACTCATCACTGTTGATAAACCATGTGTTCTTGGCGTCGGGAGGCCTTATCCTGACAGGCTTCAACACCTCACGAAAAAAATTCAGAAGGTAGGTTGCATGGCTCACAGAATAGGCCCTCAGGGTTGATGGTGACCTTCAGTCAATCCTGAACTGGTCTTAAGAGGGTCTCTGTCTCTTCAGACATAGCTCCAATCACAGGATTTTGAGCTGGAAAGGAGTCCAGCTAAACAGCTGCCTTTTTCATCTCAGAGCTGAACCATCTCTTTCACTTGCCTTGGATTCCCTGAAGGGAGTCATAAGACTCCCTGGGCAGAAGGCTAGATGCCTGTTCCCTGCTCAGAACAGCCCGAAGCTAGTGTCCAACCTGCTTTTGGCAGATTCTTCTGCTGGCTGAGGCTCTGCCAGGGTGAGGTTTGGCTGGAGGGCTCTGTGGCTATGGGACAAATTTTGGCTCAAGGAAAAGGGTGAGTATTTAATCCCAAACCACTGTCTGAGAGGCTGAAGTGTCTGCTGCTCTCTGTAGTTTCTGTAGCCCCCTTCAGACCACCCAGAACTCACTGGCACACAAATTCTGTGACTGCAATTTTTAGTCACTCATTCATACCTGCCCTGCACCTTTTGCAATGCCTAACAGAGTTCCCTCTAAGTGAATATTTACTAAAAGGCCCTTGAGGACAAGGATGGCCTGTTGTTTTATTTGTAGCCCCCTCAATTCTAATGAACCTCACAATAGGACAATGAATCATATGGAGATGGACAGCCAGGTGCCAATAATTGAGGCCTTGTCTTATCTTAAGGAAAGTCCATGTTCTGGGATCTACTTTCTTCTAAATTGAAACTGCTTCAGGAGCAGGTTGTCTTTGGACCCCAGACCTACCACCTATCTCTTTCAATGTATATGCAGGCCTTTTCTAAAAGGAGCTATTCTAGGCCCCCAGAAGGGGCCTTGTGATATGCAATTGATACAAAAGACCCAGGAGAAGACTGGATGCTGGGAACATTTCCAGTCTCCAAATTCACCCTCAGATTTTCTTCACCAGAAAGGTTTCTGAGATCACCTAAAAGCACCAAACATTAGCCATGCCTTGAAGTAGAAAGACCATGGAAACTTTCTGGAAAAGACAAGCAGCTGGTTTCCATCCTCGGTCTTTATGGTATTGGAGACGAATGGGGCAGGAAAATCAAAATCAGGTGTCTCCCTTTTCGTCCCCTTCTGTCCTGTTCCCATGTCCCCTGCCCTTCTAGTCAACAGGGCTTAGCATCCAGCTTCTATCACAGGAACTGGGGTCAATCTTCTAAGATAATAAAGCATAAAGAAAGCAAGGAGGAGGAAGGAAGGAAGGAGAGAAAGGAAGGCTGGAGAGAAGTGGAGAAAAAAATGAAAAAGGCTTGGAAGGAGGAAGGAAGAGGGGAGCAGCTAGGAGAGGCGGAACAATGAAGGTCTGAGGCTGTCGGAGGCGCACGGTTCCGGAGGCACGTCCGTCCCGCGTGCCTCCGGCCAGCAGCTGCACACTGCGCAGCGTGTGGGCGCTGAGTCACGGTCCCAGAACCCGGAGCCGCCGTGCAGGTCTAGGGGGCCGGCCCTGGTTGGCATCTGCAAACTGTTTTTTTCTTTCCTCTTTCATTAAGGCTGTGTGCTGACTCCCACGTAGGAGAACTTATTAAACCGCACGTACTGCCTGACGGCTCTCGCGCTATCCAAGGCGACCAGTTGGGGGCGCTGCAGCCTCGCTTATGAGCCTCGCTGGCAGCTGGGGCACCAGGCGGGAGAGGACTGAGGTTCCTCGTCCCTCTTCGGGTTTCCTGGAGGAGTCCAAACATTTTGCTGGAGTAGCCTCTAACTTGAACACCGCAGTAGCCCTAGGAAACTCCTCACTTAGAAGGCTTGAGAGACCACCCCAACTATGTGAGGCCCGCTTGTGCTCAGGGTTCCGTAAGCTACTCCATAAAATCTGGGACTCGCGTAAGCGGGAGAATCTGAGTTCACTCCCCAATAGAGCTCACCCTATCCCATCCGGCACGGCCACCACGCGAGGCTGTACCTCCAGCTTCTCCGCGAAGCTCCGTGCACCTTGCAGAGAGAGCGGAACTACTGACAGCTCAGCGGGCACGGAGAGGGGCCAGCACCCAGCGGTGCAGCTGTCCCACCTTCCCAAGCCAGGCAGCGTGACCCAAAGTCTCCCAGGCCACGCAGGACCAGGAGTACCCTTCCACCCTCCCTCCCAAGACCCGTGACCAGAGAATGAATCAGCACCGAGGCAGTTTATTGGTTTGCTATTTCGCATATCACCCATTTAATGTAAATAGATTACACAGAGACGCGGTGTTTCCTTCTTCCACAAGAGGTAATCAGTCTCTTTCACACACACAAACTCTCACGCATTCCATGCAGCAAACAACAATGTTACACCTCGCTGAGACATTCACGTATTAAAATACTGAGGAGGGGGACAATACAATTGCTTTAAAATGCCCTTAATACAATATATAACGTACAAAAATATCTCTATATTTGAAGTTACAAAAAAAAATCTCGACAGCAACAAACTTAAATATTGATAATTACCTCTGTATAGACAACACGCATTGCACTTTTCCTCTCTAGGTTTTGGAAGGTTCAAGTAGTTGTAGGGCTTGCGCCCCGGTGGGGTAACACCCCGTGAGAAATCAGTTTGAAGGGAAGTACGGCAGTGGCTCAGACCCGTGCTCTGGGGGTCTCAGCATTTTATTCTCAGTTTCTCCTCTCCGAGAGCCTGGCAGACACTCCCTGGAATTCCTTTGCCCCCCTCCCATCCCACCCCCCGTGCACCCAGGCCCGGTTAGGGAGAAAGAAACTGCCTTTGAGGAAGAGGGACCCCTGCAAAAGCCAGGGCTCGCGCCGGAAGGTGCCTCCCGGACTCCCGGTCTATGCAAGGCTGACTCAGCCCGGTCTCCAACGGCTGAGAGGCTCGGCTCGGGAAAGCCCTCCGCCTCGGGAGGCGCCATCCAGCTGCATACGCGACTGATAGCTGCTGCCACATGGGGCCTAAATCCTAAAGAGGGTGGCGAGAACTTGATTTGAGCGGGAGGCTGGAGCCAGGCGTGCCTCTGGCTCTGGGGACAACAGAGTCCGGCCCCGGCCGGCCTCGGGCAGGGAGCGCCGGCGCCGGCGGCCGTAGCCTTGAGGGCTGATCTTATTCCTGGGGGCAACATCGTCCTTCTCCTTGTCTGTGAACTGGTAGATCTGATGCGCCAGTTTCTGCACAGTGCACGTCCCAAAGCGACAGCCTGAGCTCCGCAACCCTTGGAATCTGTTCATACTCTGGCGGTAGCGCTTGACTCGGATGCGGGCGGGGTCCGGACTGCAGGAGAAGGAAAAGGAGGACAACGTAAGACCCCCATCAAGCAGAGCTTGGGCCCCAAGAACAGGCGCATTCTAGGACCAGAGCGCCTGGAAACTGCTACCGCCTTCTGAACTGCCACACAGCACAGACAATCCCGGGGCCAGGGTAATGGAGGAGAGCTCCCCTTGCCCACCCCGCGACGGAGGCGCCTGGAATAGTTACCTGGCCTGGGTGCTGCGAGAGGGCCCCTTCACGTCCTGCGGCTGAATGATTGTCTGGGCAGGCCCGGCCTTCATGTCAGCGACCCCCGTGGGGTAGCTGCTGGACTCCCGAAGTTCCCTCTTCCCGCGACTTAGCGCCCATTTATTCCATCTAGAAAACACAAATAGAATCTATTCGCAGGGGTCCAGGCGAGATCCTGGCCGGTCGATACTCGAGTTCACTTCTAACCCCGCGTGACCAACGGCCACTTTCCTTGTCTTCCAGGTACAAGGACTCAGAAAAGCTCTGCCTGCGACTCACTTCTTTCGGAACTCTGACGCCACGTCGAGCCGTGCGGTGTCTGCGCCTAGGAAGGCGAGCGAGCTTAAGTACAGGAGGGCGACGGGAACCAGCTTCATCCCAGCGGCGATGCGCAGACCCTTGGGAGGGAGAGAGAGGCGCGTGAGCTCCTGGACCTGCCACACCGCCCTGGCAGGGCACTGAGGGCAGGAGGGACCCCGGCAACCCGCGCCTGCCTGGCTCAGAAGCTTATCTCCCCAGGGCGCAGAGAGGCGCCAGCGGCATTTGCACCAGCCCGGCGGGTGACAGGCCCTGCAGGGGAGGCCTCTGCCCAGTGCCAGGCTTCCTGCCTAACTCGTCAGGATTTGGCTGACAGAGCAGAGGGGACTGCAATTCCAGCTGTGTGTACGAGCTGGGCCCAAGATGTGGAACGCACCCCCCCCCCCCCCGCAAAGGACTCCTCACCCAGCGCTCCCAGTCTCCTGCCTGGGCACGGGCCCCCTCTTTACACACCCTGCCCGAGGCACCTACCTGCTGAGGGGGTGATCGGCCAAGATCCAGGAGGAGAAAGTTCGAGAGGCGCTCTGGCAGTGGCAAAACCCCAACGTCCAAGCTGTGGTTAGAAACCAGAGGTGGTAAGGCTCCAACTGTTTCGCCTAGTGTCACCAAGAAACCACTGAGTGTCTAGCTCTGGTTCCCCTGTTTTATAGTACAGGGGGCGGGGCCTGGGCTGCCCTCCCGCCCTCCCTTTCTTCCCTCCAGCGTGCGCGCTCCTGCACTCGGGCGCGCTCACTGCAAGCCTATGGGTGTGGAGTTTGGAGTTTAGGGGTGGGGGTGTCCCTTATGCCCAGAGTTTAGGGATGATCCCCTGGAGGTTGGTACAGGCATTTCCACAGCTCTGACTCTGGACACAGGGTTCACACCGTAAGCCCGGGCAAACTAGGGCCCCGTACAACCTCTTGGGGTCTTTACCCAGTATCTATGCAGCCTAGATTGCGAGGCCTCCTGGCATGGAACTGCAAGAGCAGGGGGGGGGTACCACGCAGATGGGCCAAGCCCCGGCCTTCGGGAGCTGCGGCCTCGAATGGACCGCGCCCTCTGCCGGCTCCGAGCCTGAGCTGGCGGAGACCCCAGACTCCGGCAGAGCAGCAGGGACAGGGCACAAAGCACAGCCTAGAGGCACGGGGCTCACCAACACCCAGCCGCCCACCCACCTCGGAGAGCTGTGGAGACTCCGGGGTTCTGGAATGGGCTAGTAAGATTTCGCAATAGCTCAGAAAGTCTAATTTGAGAATTGGGGTTGGGGGGGCGGTATCTTAAGTTTCAGAATTTACACGCCTGTTTAGAAATACAGGAATAACCAAAATTTGGAAGAAAGATAACGTTTCGGGTTTTTCCCCCCTTGTAACCCAATAATTCCTTATAAGGTTACAACCTGAGTTTGTCCGGTTGCCCTGGTAGCCTTCATTCACCCATTCTAAACGTGAGGCTTCACTGCCAGGGAGCACACTAACGCTTCACCTATTTTAATAGATTTACAAAGTACAGTCACATCCTGATCTCCTTTGATCCTCACACCTCACACCTACCCTTGAGTTAAGCGAGGAAGGTAACATTACTTCGCTCATTTTACTAAGTGGAAAATTAAAGAGAGAGAATGCATTGCCCAAAGTCACACCAAAGGTAGTAAGCAGTAGAGTTTAACTCGGTCCCCCGCAAGCAAGCATGGCACACTGGGGCGCGGTGTGGATTTTTCTAAGCTAGGGTCATCATCTCGTCAAAGGCAGAAGAGAGTTTTGTTAGCCCCCGCCCAAGTATTTATTCCTGTTTATGATGAATCACCCCCAAGCACGTTTGTCACCTCTTGGTACTCTTGCATCACTGCTGCTGCTTCTTTTTCTTTTCTTTATTAATTTTAGAGAGAGAGAGGAAGGGAGAAGTAGGGAGAGATTTAAACATCCATGAGGGAGAACATCGACTGGCTGCCTCCTGCGTGCCCCTCACTGGGGATCTGGCCCACAACCTGGGCATATGCCCTGACTGGGAATCGAACCAGCGACCTCTTGGTGCATGGGTTACGCTCAACCACTGAGCCACACGGGCTGGGACCATCATTGCACTTTCTTACTTGTCTTTTGGGGACCAAACTGGGGAGAGAACTCAGCCCCGAAAGGCTCCCTACTTCTTGTATGGGGACCTCTGGTGTCCTATCACCCACTACCCCAGTCTCAGGTACGGAATGAAGCCCAGTGCCTAGACTAGGAGGCCGAGCGAAGAGACCACTAGGACTCTCCCTATTGCAGTTTGTTGTATGAACGAGGGCAAGTCATGTCCCTCTTCTGGCTGCCCCATCTCTAACACGTCCCCAGCAGATCTCGTAGCTTCTTGTCTGCTCTGCCATACTGGTTCTGCTGTACAGTGGAAAGACCGCTGGGTCGCGCGGACCATGCCAGGTCTGGGCCACGCGCTGCAGTCTCAGCATCTTTTCACTCTCAGGACCAAACCGCGTGGACCTTGCACCTGAGGCGGGCAAGGGCGTGCCAAATTAATTTATTCTGAGGACTCTTCCCAGAGTCACCTCAGCGGACCTGAGTTTCAGCTGAGGGCAGGGGACATATTCCCGGCTCCGGTAAGGGCTCGGGATGCCGAGGGTCAGAGTGGTGCAGCGCAGTGTACTGTCTAGGTTCGGACCTCGCGGCTGGCAGCAATGCAGTCGCTGTAGCAGACCGGGCAGGCGGCTAGTCTGTCCACACCGCGGACAGCAGGTATTACTGCGCGTCTGTTTTATTTCCAAGAGCCTCCCCATCCTATTTTGTTTTCCTCGCTTGTTTCCTATTTTCCATCTTTTTCCCTTCAGTTCGTCTCCTGCGAGTCAAGCTCTTCGCACAGATCCTGTCCAGGACCGGCTATCCTGTCTAAGGATACGACCTATTGGTCGCCAGCTTTCAGCTGGGTCCACGCCAAACAGGTTTTACTTTCATTTCCCCGGAGCGAGCCTCCTACTACTGAGGAGGTCAAGGACAGCTGAACGTCGGCCCACAGCCAGGGGAAGGTCCCGTGGTCTGGATTCGTTCCTTCCAGTTCCCACCAGCCCTGGGAGGTTTGGTCTGCAGAGGACTCTGCGCTGTACCTTGTTGCCTCCTGGGTCCTTTAGGAAAGCCCCCGATCCCATGGAGGGGAACCAGCTCTAGTTCTCGCTGCAGGATCAAGAAGCTTGCTCTAGCTCCAACCTTCGCTCTTAGCTTTGGGCGGCTTGAACAAGCAAAGCAAACCCAGGAGTGGAGGCTCGGCTCGGCTCCGCCTGGCTCCGCCTGGCTCCGGTGCCTACGCCAGCACTTGGTCGCAGTGCCAGAAATTCCCACCTGAGAGCCTTGGCATGCTCCTTATCAGCCCAGACGTGTGGTGTAGCTCTGGCACGTAGACATCCGACGCTGGAGAACCATGCCAATTCTTTCTTTAAAGTTCTGGATTGGCAGCTCCAGGTTTTGCTACCACATTCGTATCTGAGAGAGATGTTTATTGCTTTGAGAGAGAGAGAGAGAAGAGTCGTGGGGTATATGTCGAAAAGAGATATAAAATTTGCTAAATGTTGTCATCTATTTTGCTTACTTAATCATCGTTGAAGAAAAAAAAAAAACGTTACTAGAATGCGTTTTCGGTTAAATGGTCAGATCTAGAAAGAAACGCCACAACGGGAGTTCTGTTTCTGGTGATTTGTTAACGTGGAGCTTCATCCATCCAAGTTACGGTGATTATAGATTCACATTGAGAACAAGGAAGGAAGGAAGTGAAGGAAGAAACGTCTTTAAAACCTCACTGGCAAGAGAAGAAAGAGAGAGAAAAAATAAATTCTGGTTAATAAGAACCCACATGTTTTTGTGCCCAAGAATTTTTAAAAGGTCAGATTGTAAATAAAACTCCAAAGCACTGTAATAAACGGGTGTATCCTGGCCCTGGCCGGTTTGGCTCAGCGGTTAGAGTGTCAGCCTGTGGACCAAAGAGTCGCGGGTTCGATTTCGGTCAAGGGCACGTACCTACCTCGGTTGCGGTTCATCCTGGCCCTGGTCTGGGGCCCTGCGGGAGGCAGGCAGTGGATATGTCTCCCTCACATCATGTTTCTCCCTCTCCCTCTCCCACTCTATCTGAAAATGAAAAGGAAAAGGAAAAAATACCTTCGGGCGATTCCAGTCAAGGGCACATACCTTCATTGCGGTCGGTTGGTGTGGTCGTCCGTGCGGTTGTCCGTGCTGTAGGTCCGCGGCGGTTCCATCCCCAAGGGTCCAGCGGAAGGCAGCCCGTCGATATGTTCCTCTCACATCATGTTTCGCTCTCCCGCTCTCCCCCCACCCCCACTTTATCTGAAGATAAAAAGGAAAAAATACCTTTGGGTGAGGATTTTTTTAAATCTTAAATAAATAAATAAATGTGTGTATCCTGATGTCAATATATACAGACATACTGATATGCTGTGAAGGCTTGTTGTATAATGGTGCCTTAAGTTTTTCTTCACATTCCAACTGAATTATTTTTAGGCCCTAAATCCAAGCCTTATTCTTAGTAATGTTTTGGAGTTTTAAAAAATGTGTGGTGGTTTCTCAGCTAACTCTGGAGACAGTCCCTAAAGCCAGTGTGACCACACTCGGGTCATGCAGAAAAGTAATGAAAAACAGTAAGTAATATTAATGGCATTAATAAGAACAAAAGTGAGTAGCTACATGTATTGCATAATTATTTCAGATGCTTCTTTTTTCAAACAAGAAATTTCATAATGTATTTATTATTCATATGGCTCAGAATGCCTCTGCTAACTTGACAGCTTGTTTACCAAGTTCATTTCAAAACGAGGTTTAAGAAGCATTTTGGTGTCATAACACAAAGTGGTTTAGAGACAGGACAAAATCAGCTTTGTGGATTTGCTCACCCATAGGGAGAAGTAAAAGAAACAAAACAAAGCTCAGACATAAAATTTCAGGAGGTTAACCAAATTAAGAACACTAACAGAATAAAAAGCACTGTTTCTACAGCATTAATTGGAGTGATGGAGTCAAAAGGGGCAGTTAGCATCTCTCTTTAGGGCATAATATTTTCCAGAGCATCAGCAAAAGAAAAGTAATGCTTTGGCTGCCTCATTTTTGTGCTCCTGCACAAAACAGATGGACAGATATGTGATAAAGCCAGAAGACAACCCTCTCTGAAGGTTAAAAAATGTAAGTTGATATAGGACAAATGAGAGAATACAAAGAAAATGGTTACCATATAGAAGCTTGCTATTCTAACAGCTATAACAGAACAAGATGAAATGACTTCAAGATAAATTTACTATTGATAGAACAATGAATAGCATTAATCAATGATTATTAAAAAGATGCTTGGACCATTTGGGGCCATCCCTAGCCAATGAGAATGGCTCCCTGCCTCCAGGTGGAGATCCTGTACTATCAGATTAGACCCATTGAAATAAGACAATTCTTATGTTTGAGCCTGCATGACTTGAAAGTTTATCTTTCATTCCTTCAACAAATATTTACTGAGCTTGCATTACATGCCTAGCTTTGTGCTAAGTATTGAGTACACAGTAATCATCAATGGAACATCATTCTTGCCCTCAATAAGCTTACAGCATAGTGGGGTAGCCAGTCATAAACAATTCCT